TTTAAGCAAGTTCTTAAAATGAATGCATGCAAAAATGAAGATGGCTTCCTCTTCTGATTTTCTCTCCTCTTGTTTTTGCATGTTTTTCTTCGGTAGAAACTTGCACATGCAGTGACTTCTGATCCAGCCATAAACACCCCTGAGGATTCTCAGTGGAAGTGGCTTAATAGCAGAAGTGCTTTTCATCTTTGCCAGTGCTTGGCCATCAGATATGGAAGGCATATGTGAGGGGCATTAGAAGTCGATAGAGACAGCTTCATTTTATTTCCTTTAATATAGAGAGCTTGAGCCTTCACCTGCTTTAAATGTTGCCTCATTTTCTTGCTATTAGAGTGAGTGACTGGGCTTTTGCCTACAAAGCTCTTCTGCTTGTATTGGATCTGACACACTGTATTTTCACCATCTTGACTCGTGGATATATTTGATCAGATCTTGCAAGGTCTATGAGAAAATACCAGGAGTACCTTACCTCAGCTTCAGGTTTGTGTGTTTCACATGCCAAAGTTAAATCTTTGCACTGATTCCATATCTCTGCAGGACTTGAGTGAAGATATTTGAGTAAGGAACAAAAAATTCTGGTGAGTACCCTTGAGGGGTAGTTTTYAAGGTAGAACCACCTAAATGTGATGGTAATGTGTTTTGAATTAAACTTTACTTCCTACTGATAGCCTTTACAGAACAAATGAGCTTCTTTGACTTAATGTGACCTGGAAAGTATAATTTCTACGTCAGTTACTGTGTATCTCCGTGTGATGTAAAAAATGTTTAGGTACATTTTTTTGCCTGGGCCTGGACCATCGATTCTTCTCTTCAGTTTTCACAAAGATTTCCTACAGATTTTTTTTCATGTAAGTTTACCTGGTCCTTTTACAAAARGTATGTGTAATATGTCCATTGTGATTTGTAAGGCAGCTTCTTTGGAAAGATTTAAGCAAAATTCTGCTCAAACACTATTTTCATGAGCAAGGACGCCAGGTACTTTGTCCTGGCTGGATAAGTGATGGAAGTAGKCACATTTACAACAAGCTGCAAAATAAGGAATTGATTTTACTTTCTATTGCTCCTGAAAATGCTTGAAAATTGATTCAAGGGAGGGGCTGTAAGGGTACTGGTGTGTTCCTAAGGCTCAGACACTCTGATGTGAGGTGTGTTGCACAGTTTTCTACACCCATAAATTTTGTCTGCTCATGAACCCACAAATGCTTTTGGTGGTGGTGAAGTTAAAAGTGCAATCCTTCTCAAGTTAAATACATGTTTAGGGAAGTGAAGCACACTRCAAAAGTGAGGGGCAGATGAGAATGCTTACCTTTTATCTGAGARGAGTGGTGAAAAAGGACATAGTTGCCGTATCACAAAATATTTTGAGTTAGAAGGATCTCTGAATCCAGCTCTGAAGTGAATGGCCTGTGTGGGGATCACAGCCTTTTTGGTTTTAGGGCCACAGAAGTGAATTATAACAGTTCATRTTCAGGTTTGTAGAGTGCTTTTGTCCCTGGTCTTTATGCCTAGAAGGTTGTCACAATTCTTTAGGAAGTATCTAGAGTGAGAAAAAATGACCTTAAAAAAATTGTAATGCCACAATGAAAATCAGATGCAGTCAGTGGAAATATCAATAATAAAGAATGAAGAAGCTTTAGTTTTAGTTCAAGTGATCAGTAAAAAGGAGAAAAATCACTGTGTTCATGGTTCATGAAAGCACAGTTCATCTTATTGTGATGGAACACTATTGCGTGTGATCTCACAACTGAGATCTTTCATAAAAAGAACATACAACATGACTCACAATG